ACAATCCGTGAACCTCTTTGATCGTTTTCCAGTGATGCCCGGGCCAAAGCTTGTTAGCGCTGCTCGCGGCGGCATCACCAGTTCCCTCGCTCTTGGTCACGACACTCCACCCGGTGCTACCAAGGCCAGAATCAAGCTCGGTCGCCACGATGGTCTTGATGTCCCCCATCTCCCCGGGAATTTCGGTAACATACTCCACTGCGGTCTTGAACACTGCACCGAGGTCGTTGGCTTTGATGCGCTCGCCCTCGATGCGGAATATCTTGTTCTCCAGTTCGGCGGACGGGAGCGTGGTCAAAACGTGGACGACGAATCCTTGTGGAATCACAGATTAGTTGCATAGATGGTTGCGTTGAAATGGTGCGACGAACCCGCAACATCAGGGAGCGCCGTCGCGGAGATCGGGGCCTCGCCTTTGCCCACAATATGGATCTTCTTGGTCTCCGCGTTCAAGAATAGCCACGGGATGTATTCGGTGAAAAGACCGTTCTATAGCGTTGGTTTACCAGCTGTGATATACGCAAAGGGAAATTTTACGGACGTAGATTCTGAGAGACGGGATACCGGCGCTCTTCAACTGCTCCGCAATCTGGTTCTTCTCTGCCCAGGTACCCTCGTTCAGGCCTTCCGTCGGCACTCCATACTCGGACGGAACAAACAGCTTGATGTTCGCGGCCTTGGCGGCCTCGATGAGGGACTTCTGTGCGCCGATGGCGTGCCCAGTGACGGTCGAAAGCACTACATCGACGGTGTGCTCCTTGAAAACGGCAGCGACAGCAGCGGCGTCGCTGGTATCGACGGTGGTGAGCTTGGTGCCGGCAGGGAGCTTGTCTGTGCTCTTGGATCCCGGACGAGCGAGGACGACGACGGGAAGGTTCTGGGCAGCGAAGGCAGCGACGATCGTGGACCCAAGAGCGCCGGCGCCGATAACTGCGAATGACTTGTAGGAGGACATGTTGGTACCCAAATTACAGAAACCCCCTTCTTATAAGTCGTGGCCGCCTCCGACTTGGTAATCCACGCGGTGACTCGATCCGCTACGACAGAAGGCGAAATAATTCTATTAAAGTAGAATGACGTTTGAGCGAACTCGTTTGTAAGGCGGTTTGTAAGGCGGGCTGAGTGGAGTTTGCATCTTCATGCACTGATGATCAAGGTAAGGCGGCCCAGGATCGGATACTGTACTATTTCGACCAAATGTTCACTATTTTTAGATTTTCCTCGACCGAGGTGGCCGATACATTTTCTTCTGAATTATAGCAATCTTTAGGCACATCAAAAAAAATCGGGTGTCACCGTCACCTGAACATTTGGTCGAAATAGTACAGTACTTCAAGTAAATGTCTCTACGTCATGCCGCTAGTACTTACGACCTTTGAGTATGTGCGCTGGTGCTTCGAATGGTGGTGCGCTTGCATCTTAAGTATCCGATAAGAGAGTAGCGGGAAAACAAACACAACCATTTGATGCAACGTCAAGGTTGCCGAAATTATGTTCTGGGCATCTTCCGCTCACAGATATTCCTTCGAGAATGGGCCTGCCATGATGGTATAGTATATGAGTATGACATATCAAGCTATTCTAAGATCTGAAGAAAAAAAGAAAAAAAGATTGCAAACTCAAAAGTTTTTTTTTCGGAAATCATTATGCAACGTCTGGAATTGCCGTATATTTTTTCTCCAATTTTGTTGGGAATTATGAACTGGAGGATAGTCGATTCTATGTAGTACTCACAAAATATTTTGGCTCCCCAAGGCAGGACTCCGTGTAAAATATATGCGTGTCGGTATTCAACCACAGCTACGTACTTGCAGGGACGGTGCCTCCCAGCCAACGCTACCGCTAACACTTAATTCAGGCAGTAAGTAGAGCAATAATGGGGTGTGGTGCACGGTGCACCGCAATTTTAATTAGGTTAAATGTGAAGCGACAAGCTGCAGACTGGGGTTCGACTCCCCGCGCCCGAACTTCTAGTTCATTGATCTTTTTTCCCTCATTTGATGTGCGATTCCCTGGAATTTCGAATTCCGTTTACGAGCTGAAGCCTAAAGGACACTGGAATTTAGTACTAGTACTGACAAAAGGATTTTGGCTCCCAAAATATCCCTGTCGATTCTCAACCACAGCATTGAGGTACATCCTTAAGAGGTCCAGACGCCGGAAATGAAACCTCATCCTAAAACTTCCGTTCATACCGAGGGGCCTACTAGTAGATATAATCGGGTGTGCCAGTTCAGAGTTCTGCAGGACAGGGTTCAACCCCCGCGCCCGAACTCCGAGTCCATCCATTACTCCTCTCTTTCTTCCCCCTCGTTTGATGTGCGACTCCGTGGAATTTCCGTTAGCTGAAGGACACTCACTAGATCCTAGTACTAGTACTATTTTGGCTTCACATCGCGTAAAATATCCGTGACGATTCAACCACAGCTTTAAGATACATCGTACCGGGCGCGTTCCCCTCAACGGCTACGGCTGCTTCGTTCCCCTCTGTATCCGCGCCCTCTACCCCCGCCCCCAACTCCACCTCCCCTGCTACCTCTGCTTCACCTCCGCTACGTCTAGCAAAGGTACTCAAAATCAGAAGGACAAGGGTAGGCGCCAGGCACCATCGAGCTCTCCACCTCCCTCCGCACGCGGCACCGCTCCCCGCTCGACGCCGAGCTCGCGATGCAGCTGCGCCCGGGGCTGGGCGTGGGCGCGGGCGGGGCGTGGTTGGTGAGGTTTTCGATGAGCTTTTTTGGGTGGTTTGCGGTGCTTGTTGCGAGGACGGGGGATTAGGTCGTCTTGTGGCCCACAAGTGCGAGTTTGAGCCCAACGAGTGCGCCCCGCTTTTTTTCTTTTCTCTGCTCTGCTATGCATCCATCTCATCTCATATCGCACGTATTATTCATCCATCCTCCGCATCCATTTCCACTCCCTATCGCACTGCATCCGTCCGTACATATTCATATTCGCTTTTGTCTCCTCATCTCGTATCATACATACATACCGCACATACATTCATATCGCACACCGCACATTCTCATACCTCATCCTTCATACCTCTCATACCGCACCGCACCTTTTCTTACATTCTCGCACATCCACTTTATTACATCCACGCACTCGCATACCACTCATACACTCGGGGTTCACGACCAGTACGACGACTCGGCATTTATGACCACCAAAAGACACGATACGACCACGTACATAGTGTACCATACGCAGTAACTTAATTAGCTATAGCTTTGGTAGCTACGACTAGGGTAATTTAATGCGATTTGGATGTTTTACTGCTCACTTTCGACTCGGAATTCCCCTCTTGAGAAAGGCGAATACGTACCGTGCCTCCCACTCTGGCCTGGTATGAATGGGCGATCGATGGTTATACACCACTCGGGCGTGGTGCGCGGCGCATGGTGGTTCTCAATAACACTGCTTGCTGCATATGTATATACCGCAGGACGGGCTTCGACTCCCCGCACTCGAAATATGGGCGTAATTATCTTGCTTTTTGTTCGAGGCACGTTTGGCCTCGCTGCCAAATTTTGCAACGCATACTGTGAACCGGGGAGACTGCATGACACTAAGCGAAGTAGATAGTATTATAGGGATAGCTAACAAATAGACATACCACTCACTCCAGTACGTCGTAGCGCTGTTGAGGTAGGTCTGAATCAATGGTCAGATATCAACACATATAGTATATGTAGGTTATAGAGAAACAATACGGGTGTTGAAACGTTGCACCAGAGTGCAGGCGTGGAATCCAATATCAAACGAGCAAGACTCCGTCTGCTCAATCTAATACCAAAATCCAACAAACCCACTAAACTCAGAATGCTCAGTGTGTGTAGTTCGGGGCGGTAGGTCAGGCGTATCGACCGTCAGTCGAAAGACTGTGTCAAGCAAGCCACAATGCAAAATGCAAAGCTTTGGTCAGAAGCTGAGTTTTTAAGACCTCAATCTCAAAGGACTGAATGCGAGGCTTTGGTCAGAAGCTCAAGTTTATGACCGTCAGATTCAAGTGTAGCCAAAGAGGTCTACAAAGTGAAGAGCTGTGGGTGGAAGGCAACCCCCAAATGATATGGCAAGAGTGGTGTTAGTCGCACAGAGGCTACAAAGAGCTTGCCGAACTAAATAGCTGTTAAGCTTGGGGCTCTAAAAGAGCTGGTTGCCAACCAGGGGGTGCAATTGACCGAGTAATCTACTACATTTGGTGGTGCTTTTATACTGTACTGGCTACTGCGGGTTACAAACACAATTATAATTTAGCGGAGAGAGAATTGGACATTGGTAAGTGCCCAGATAAATGGAATAGAACATCCCTACTGCCCAGCTTCAGGGAACAGAGCATCTAGTCTGTCCAGATCTCAGGATTTAACCATCTGAACAGCTTTAAAGCACTATTTCTAAGCCAGTTCTCCTTGCCAAGGCCATTATTAAGGTCTGTGTACCCAACAACAGCCCAATCAGCCTTACAAACCCTGCTACAGGTTGTACTGCATCTTTCCTACCCGAAGACCAAGTGCACATTGTGCCATTAGCCCTCGTAATCATCTTTCTACAGGTTTGTTGTCCCTGGTTTGGTTTCTCTGCTGGACGTGTTGGATCATATGACCACTTTAGGGCCGGGTTTTACAGCTCCCATAGTACAGTTCACAGCGCAACTGTAGTTCAATAGATTTCAATGGCATTTCAACTTGGTTTCCTTCAATAACTCCCTTGATTTACCTGGCATCCATATTGACACCGAACTTGCTACACAGGTTCTCTGTAGCTTGTCGGGTGAGTCCTATAGCTAGCTGATTGAGCTCCAGAATAATACTAGTCACTCCGTTAGGAGTACTGGTAGAATCCCTTCACTCAATATTGTTTAGACTAGTTTTCAATGCTTCATAGGTTTAATGCTCGGCCTCGGGACAAGACCAGCACCCTCTGTGTCTTACTTCAGTTTAGATTGCTCTAATGTAACTTGTCTAAATCAAACAATTTAGGCGTGTTCAAAACCACGCCTTATCAGTGTGGTGCAGGGTGCACGGCGGCTTTCAATAGCAGTTTTACTTGACGCGATTGGGCCGCAGCCGGGGTTCGACTCCCCACATCTGATTTTCATATTCTGTGACAGTTTTTTTTCCCCGAGCCATGCACTTTGAATTCTGCTAACGCATACAGAAAATATAGGTTCTAAGAAATCGGGGTTCGACTCCCCGCACCCGAATCATCCACTGATGGTTGAATTTTTTTTCAAAAAGATTTGGGTTACTTTCCGCCCAGTAAAATATTGGAGGTACTCTACTTCGCTTCCTTCTTCGCCCTCTTTCTGGACGTATATATATATCAATATTTTGTTCATTGAATTCAACCACACGCCGACATACCTCAACTTTCTCCATGATCAAAGTATACAGAGTCGGTTTCAGGTACTGGGAGGTGTCTAATGTCTTTTGAGCATTCAACTTGGGTGTGGTGTATGATGAAATACAATGAGCTTGTCTTAAGATCCGGGCGGTGCAAACCGCCAACCGAACTTAAGTTCGGGTCGAACTTAAGTTCTCTGCACAAGCGGGCCACCTGTGTGGTGCCCGCCTGTATACGCCCCCCCCTTGAGCCACTACTTAAGTCCCGCCCAAAGCTCAAGTCCCGCTCACGACTTGAGTTCCACAGCCTCTCAAGTTCCAACTATAGCTTAAGTTCGGTATGCAATCTCCAGTTCCATTAATAACTTAAGTTACACCTCCGAGACTTGAGTGGCTAAATGTATACTGTGGCTGTGCAATGACGAGCAGCCAGATTGTGCCGCCAACCGGGTTTCCGAGCACGGGGGTGGCATGCGAGAGCCCCAATACACGTCTGCCGGCAAGGGCCCGGTCGCCGCGTTAAAAATCCTTGTACGCCCGATGTATGTCCTAATCCGTGGTGAATAAATAATATAAATATATTCCATGGAAGCGTGGCACTCACCATGTCATCCATCCACTTGAACACTACGTCGCGCCACCCATCAATCTTGGTGACCAGTTCGTCGAAGCTGGTTGCAGAAACCCAATCGTGGTGTGCTCCCGACTCGGCGCTCTTGAAAATCACCTTTGCGTTGTGCTCGAGCCGCCTGTGCATCGCGGCCTGCATTCGACCATAAGCCACCTTGCCATTGAGCCCCCCATTCCGCTCCTGCTCACGGTCTGCCTGCCCCGCCCATACCACGCTGTCGCGGTGGTACCGCCCAATCACACGGAACAGCTCCGCGTGTTTGCGCTCGTACTGCTCCAGCCAGCGGTACATTTCCGCTTCGGCGCGGAACCATTGCACTCGGTCACTTAGCTCATGTTAGCATACATCCGACACCCAATAGACATGCTGGACACTCACTTTCCTTCTTGTATGCTCCCAGTTTTTCGTCGCTTTGACCTTGCCCCCGCATCAAGCTTTCAAGCCAGATCCAGCCGTCTCTCTTCTTCCCCTTCTTCACGCCCTCCTTCCCCGCCTTACGCTTTCCCCGTTTAGACGGCGACGTCTCCAAGTCGTCCGCCTCCGCGTCAGATGACGGCGCCGAATGCACGTCCACATCGTCAGGAGCGATGTCCCGGAGACGTTTTTTGCTGCGACAATTGTGCTGCAAACCTCCTGGATGTATGTCAGCATGTATAGGAGACTTCAAGGTGCTGCCATACCTGCGCGCTTCAGTGTCTGGATACCCGCCAATAACTGAGGCTCATCGTCTTCATCATCTTGCTCCCCTCGCGACACTGCCGAAACCACCGCTGCCTGCGATATTGTCACCCCACTCTGTAAATACCACGCCGTCCCGTTGAATAACCGCGAGTCCCCCTTTGCACAATGTAAATGAGTTTCCTTCCTCCGAGTGTCGCGGTGGCTTAGCGGCCGATAAGGCTCCACAGCGTCCGCCTCCATGTGGCCTAGATGGATGAGGGCGGTCCGCGCGTTGTTGTACATGGTGATCTCGAATGTCTTCATGAGCTCCGCCTTTTGAAGGTTTCGCTGCGACCTGGTGATACCTGCCTGACCCCGATAATCCTGCTCCCGCGCCTTCTTGGCCACAGACAATGCCAAAGAGGCAGCTCGGACAGCCAGGATACCACTGTCCGCCTCCGTACAGCGCAACCTGATTTCTGCCTCCCTTAGCTGCGAGTCCTGGTCATTGGCGTCATTGGGAGTAGTGGGCCATTGTCCGTGCTTCATGCGATACGATGGCAGTTCGATGACGGTCAACTCCGGCTCATCTATGTCGAGCGCGCTGAGCTTGAGACGCGGGAATATCTCCCGTTGGCGTTCCCTGAATTTCTTGAGATCGAGGTTCAGGGTGTCGCGCAGTTTGGTGATACTCATCCAGGTGTCTTCCAACGGATGCTCGCGATGGTTGCGCAGAAGCGCGATGGTCAGGCCCCTGCGTCATGGCGTATTAGAACTAGTTCCTGCCAAAATCGTATCCACTTACTGCGAACGCTCAATGCTCATTCCGTCGTGAGTCCACTGTGCGATCGGTGTGCCCGCCTCGTGCCCCGCGTTACGTTTCTGTTTCTCTTGCTCTGCGGCAATCATGGTAGCCAGCACACTCTCCATGGTCAGTACTAAACGTCTTTGAGCTCCAGATGTACGCCGAGATCCAATGGAAACATACCTGTCGTCTCCTCGTGTTGATACACGCTTTGGGGTTTGCCACCGGGGGACTTCGTAGTTTTCCTCGAGAGTCGTGACCATGCAGGGACTTCGGTCGCGTGCTGCCTGCTGAGGTCCTCCACCACAGCCATGTGGAGCTCAAACAGCCGAAGCGCATCGAGTCGCTCAGCAGCCAGCAGTTCCGCTTATAAATTTAGCGTGGTTAGCGTCATACATATCAGAATTCAAGGCAACTTACCTGCACGAAGTACCTTGAGCGTATTCCACGCTTGCATCACAAAATTGATAATGTCGTGCCGTGCACCACCAGTCATTTGGCGCGTTGAGGAGCCGAGTGGGTTCAGAAACGCCCAAATCATTTCCGCCGTCTCCCCGTGGAAGTGCGCCCGACAAGCGAAGTAGACTGCTTGCCATGTAGTCTTGCAGTCGCTGCCGTGCCCGTTAATGTGGTCAGCTGGGATCTGGCCCTCCACGCAGGCTAGTAGCGAGTGAAGCCACTCCTCCTCCGGAAACAGCGCGAGGGCCCGCTTGACCTGGTTCACCACAAACGAACACCAGCTGTCATAGCTGAAGTTGATGGGCGACACCGATTCTGGGCCGTGGGGCGGTGAATTGGTGTGCCGCAATTGCTCGCGTTGGGCATATGTACCCAGCGCAAAACTGGCCATAGAAATCAGTACACGGGCTAGTCATTCAGAGGTGCAAGACTTACGCTTCGGCCTTTAGCATGTCGACAAGGGACCCCAAGACAGTGTGGTCGCACGCGCAGGCGACAATGCCGCTGACGGCCGTATTTCCGTACTTTGCATGTCCCTGGTGGCGGATGGAGCCAATGTTCGCTTTACAGGGTACCTCCTTTTATGGTCATTAGCGAGGACTTGTAAAGTTTTAAGTTGAAATACCTTATCATCTGCTGGGACGACGTACGTCTTCGCAAACTCTTCAAACTCCCTTAGACTAGGAAAATACATTTTACCCTCCGTCAGGGCTGTGTCGCTGCCGTCGTCGCGTTTAAAAAATAGGTTCACCTTCCAGTTTCCGTCGAGCGTTAAATTCTGCGAGATGAGATGTCTACTTTTCCATTAGTAGTTGTCTCCTCGATTGGAACTTGTATCACCTACTCACCGAAGATAACTGGCTACGTCCACAACTAAGGGCATATTCACCCCCCGTTCCGGACACGCCGCGCAATTAACACCAAGGAATCCCGGCGGGCGGTTCGGATATGGGCGGTCGACTTCGCCAGGGAGAGGAATATCGAGGCCGTGTGCTTCGCCACGCTCGATGGTAATTTGGAGAGATTCGTAAAAGCGCGAAATGGCGAGAAAGTTGCCGTATATGTCCTGAGAACAGATCAGCATACTCGCAATATTTGACAGATAATTGTTCACACACTGGAACTGCACCAGCGAAAAAAGGGTCGGCCATCCGCTGCAGAACGAGGGCAAAATTGTAAGTAGAGCCCTTGCCCTGGCTCCGCTGCTGACGATGGTACTGGAGCAAACCCAGTGTATAGCCAGTCTTTGGGTCCTTAACGCTCCCGGGGAATATGCCCGCTCGCAAGAGTTGCTGAAACTCTGGTTCCCCCCGCTTGCCATCGGCAGTCTTGCACCGGCAGAATGAAACGGCGGTGGCATGAATCCCATTTGAATCCACCAAGGTGAAGGATCGTCCCAGGTCCGCGTCGGGACACCCTTCACCGTGGTGGCCAATCCTGATGACGGAGTTCTTCAGAACGCGACAGAAGTCGGTCTTCTCGAAGAACTCCTCCTTCGTGTTCCAAACGAATGCCCAATGCGTGGGCATCGTCCGGTGTTTTGCCAGCCAACAATGGCGACACAGAAGTGGTGCTTGGTGGCAATCACGGCAGGTAACCTTCCGCACCTGCGATGGGTCGCCACAAGCACAAGGGGTGTTGAGCTGGGAGCTGTAGTGGAGGGAGAGCAGGAGGTCGATGAATACATCTTCCTCGGCCTTGAGTTCGTTCATATGAGCTACATTCTGGACAGACATTAATTTTATTCAAATCGCTGGTGGCATCTGACTAAATACCTGTCGTGTTTTCTTAGCCTTTTCCGCGGACGGCTCCGTGGTTTCATAGGTGGGCTTGATACACGGTTCCTCTTCAGTCGCGTCAAGGAGTGGTAGGGATGGTTCGTCGGGGACGTAGTCCATTGAAAGATCTGGCGCATGTCCCGCGCCTTCCGCGCCCGATACGTAGCGTCGCTGAGTTTTTGAAGGACTTGCATCTGGCTGGGTGTGAGTCTGTGCATGTAGGACGATGGTGCGCAAACCGCACCTGTGTGGAAAGTAACTTTAAAAGAAGGCACGCTGGTGGCAATACGCGCTGTGCTCGACTCAGTTTTGCCGCGTTCAAGTTTGCGCCCGCCGACACGCTTCATGCTGCAGGATACGACGGGAGGAGAGACAAGGGATGCTGCGGGAAAAAAAAACATCAATTTCAGCTCGTGGC